CAGCCCAATCACCCCTATGATGAGAAAAATAAATGGACTCGATGTTCCCTCGCCCGGACGTGGATCACCGGGGCCCCACTCTGGAGCAAGGCCTGGAGGTGGGGTACGCGGGCGAGCGCCTGGTGGCCGGACTTTTACCCATGGAGCTCGGCCAGGCACAGTCTGAAGAGGAGACGTGGGTCCCCCTTCCCATGGGCTCACCACCTGTGGGAGAGGCCAAAGCGGTTGGGTGCAATGTGGGATGGGTGGTGGCCGAGGGCGGGGACCCTGGCGGTATGATCCTCGGCTACAAAAGCTGGCTACTGGGACGTGGAATGTCACTTCACTGGTGGGGAAGGAGCCTGAGCTGGTGTGTGAGGTTGAGGGGTTCCATCGTTCCTCACCTTAATCACAAAGTCCATGGTGTTCTGTATGTGATGTTCTGAGATGCCAACTAAAGGGATGAGTACAGACGCCAGATATTTGGAAACATTGTAAGTGACAGATTTAATCATGCTAACAATTGGTCTTAAAGGTACACCTTGATTGTGGAAACTAAACAGCCACTGGCCAAAAAGATGGCTCAGTACAGAAGAGCAACAACATCAGGCCAGGACTCTGCGGTCTACACTCATCTCCAGGCCAGCGGTCACTCAGGGATGAAGATGTTCACATCCTGGATAGAGAGGAACGATGGTTTGAGAGAGGAGTAAAGGAGGCCATCTTTGTGAAAATAAATCGTCCATCATTAAACAGGGGTGGAGGCCTCCAGGTTCAACTGTCCCCCTCTTACAATGCTGTGATTGCTAGTATCACTCAGCCCTCTGTGAATAGTAAACAGCCATCAGGTGCTAATGATCCATTGTTAGGCTGATGGTCCTTCTTGACCATGTGAGCAGCTGGTTCTGGTTGTCAGCAGCAAAACTGGTTGATCCACTCTGAGAAGGTGCTATTTATAAGACTGAGCTGAATACAGCACCTCAGACTGAGGAAGTCTTTCGGATGAAAGACAAAACGTTTCTACATTTTTTTTTTGTTGTTGCTTTGCTTTGTTTTGTTTTTTGAATGTCCAGAGGACCAGATTTACCTTTTTTAGAATTTTTCTACCTGGATTATTGAGCATGCATCAGGATATTTTGAACCACTTTGGCCAGGATTGCCTCAAACTAGTTAGAGAGTTTGAGAAAACATCAAGGAAGAGGGCAGACAGACAGCTCACCCAGCCGGAGACAGGGTGATCTGGTGGAGATGATCACAGCCACAGAATCAGCCATCCGCAACAACAAATTTAAAGAGGGTGAAGCAGAACAACTCAGAATCAAAGTTTCAGCCTGCCTCAGCAATGCCAAACCACCACCTTACAACATCAGTAGAGAGGAGAGGGATGCACTCAGCACTCTTAGCAAGGACAAAAACATCATCATTCTCCCAGCAGACAAAGGAAGGTGCACAGTGATTTTGAACCAGAAAGACTATCATGAGAAAGTTATGACACTCCTTAGTAGGAATGCGTGATATATAAGGTATACAGTAGAAACGATAGAAATTTAGCCTACGATAGATATCTGTCTTCTACCGGCTAACCGCAGTAATGCTGTGTCTGAAGTTAAATCAGAGTTGTCAGATTTAATCGTTACTTTTTTTGAGTTGAAAACTGTGCGCAAGTGGTGTTAAAGTCTTTTCTTCGAGAGCTAAGTAGCGAAGCTACAAGCTAACTACAGCCGTCTTGCCGTAGTGTTGCCGTATTCGGACGCATGCGCAAAAGACTGTGTTCTGTCGAAAGTTTTTATTTTTTCCGTTGAAAGTTAAAGTGTTGGTCATCTTTAGAGAAACCTGCTCTCTGATCTGTAAAAGAACGCTGTGTTGTGTGATTTTACTGCGAGACCCTCTGGTCAAAGACACAGACTCATTTTGTGTCAGCTCTCCATTAAAGCAGAAGGAGTCGCCAACTAGAGGTTTGGAGGGTGAAGTGTTTCAGTATAAAATGCTCTGTTGCTGTTCATTTCTTAAGTGAGAAGATTGGAAACTGTTAAGTTAACAACATATTCTTTTGTTTAAAACATATGGCTAAAATTACATCTTATACATTTTGCACTGTTTTGCACTACAACCAAGAAGCCTAATACTTGATTTGTTTATTATTTAAAAACTCTCTGGACCTTGTAGTGAAATTTTTTAAATTCAAAATATATGATAGCAAAAGGACACTTTTGGTCTCTTTTGATGTCACATCACTCTTTACGTGCATTCCTGTTGATGATGCAGTAGAGGTGGTCAGTTTAAGATTAAAATCAGACACCACTCTGAGCAGCAGGACCACGCTTTCCACAGAACAACTGTGTCAACTCTTGAAACTGTGCCTGCAGTCAACCTACTTCACATATGGGGAGCAATATTATAGGCAGAAACATGGGTGTGCTATGGGGTCTCCAGTTTCTCCTATTGTTGCCAACCTGTACATGGAGGAGGTAGAAAAGAGAGCCTTGACGTCCTTTTCAGGGACACCACCAAGTCATTGGTTCAGGTATGTTGACGACACCTGGGTTAAAATCAAATCTCAGGAAGTCCAACATTTTACTGATCACATCAACTCTGTGGATAAATGCATCAAGTTCACACGAGAAGATGAAAAAAATGGCAGGTTGGCTTTCTTGGACTGTGAGGTCTCAGTCTCTGATAGAGGACATTTGCAAACTGAGGTGTACCGCAAACCCACCCACACAGACCAGTATTTGCAGTTTGACTCCCATCACCCTTTGGAGCACAAGTTAGGAGTCATCAGGACTCTGTACCACAGAGCAGACAGCGTCCCCACTAGCTCAGGAGCCAGGCAGAAGGAGAAATCCCACACAAGACAGGCTCTAGAGCAATGTGGATATCCTAACTGGGCCTTCCTGAAAGCAGAGAAGAAACCCAAACAGGACTCCAGTCAGCCAACAGGTGAAAAGGAGGAACCCAGACCCAGACCAGTGGTCATTCCATATGTTGAGGGAGTATCAGAGAAACTGAGACGTTTATTTTCTAAACATAACGTCCCAGTGGCTTTTAACCCCCAAAATACATTAAAGACTGGTTCATCCCAAAGATCCAGTCCCCCGGCACAAACAGAGTAATGTTGTGTATGTTGTTCAGTGTCAGGAGGGTGATCAGTCTTACATCGGGGAAACTAAACAGCCACTGGCCAAAAGGATGGACCAGTACAGAAGATCAACATCATCAGGCCAGGACTCTGCGGTCTACACTCATCTCCAGGCCAGCGGTCACTCTTTCAGGGATGAAGATGTTCACATCCTGGACAGAGAGGAACGATGGTTTGAGAGAGGAGTAAAGGAGGCCATCTTTGTGAAAAGAAATCGTCCATCGTTAAACAGGGGTGGAGCCTCCGGGTTCAACTGTCCCCCTCTTACAATGCTGTGATTGCTAGTATCACTCAGCCCTCTGTGAACAGTAAACAGCCATCAGGTGCTAATGATCCATTGTTAGGCTGATGGTCCTTCTTGAGCATGTGATCAGCTGGTTTTGGTTGTCAGCAGCAAAACTGGTTGATCCACTCTGAGAAGGTGCTATTTAAGAGACTGAGCTGAAAACAGCACCTCAGACTGAGGAAGTCTCTCGGATGAGAGACAAAACGTTTCTACATTTTGTTGTTTGTTGTTGTTTTGCTTTGTTTTGTTTTTTGAATGTCCAAAGGACCAGATTTACCTTTTTTAGGCTCAGTGGTTAGCACTGTTGCCTCACAGCAACAAGGTCCAGGGTTCAATCCCCGGTTGGACCTGGGGTCTTTATGTGTGCAGTTTACATGTTCTTTCCGTGCATGCGTGGGTTTTCTCCGGGTACTCCGGTTTCCTCCCAAGACCAAAAACATGCATATTAGGCTGCATTCGGGCCCAGACCTCCCTTGCAAAAGAGATCTGTTATCTCAATGGGATTTGCCTGGTTAAATAAAGGTTAATAAAATACTAAAAATACATACAATTGTTCTATTTAACATCTGGTCCCAAGGAGCCATTATGTTGTATGTCTTGGACATTTTATGACTTCAAGACACCTAATTTAAATGAACTGGTCATTAACACGCTTAAAGCCATGGAGAAAACTTTGCTCACCTTCCACCAATTCTTTGAGTTTCTTTTCAAATATTATTTGACTATCTTTATGGTTTGCTGGAACAGCTGTGAAACTGTCTATATTTTCTAACAACCTTGTCCATCTGCTCCTCAGTGGAGCAGCTGAAGAAAATGAAGCAGCATTCTACAGCCACTTTTCTGCAGACATGTCCATTAAGTTCTGACCAATCACATGGAACTTGTCCCCTGGAAAACAATAGTTCTAACACGGGGGTTATGCACAGAACAGGTTCTAGGTAGGAGTGCAAAATCAAAAACATTTATTGTTGCACAACCACATCAGTGAGAGAACACCCCCCCAGCATTTCAGATGAAGTGTAAATCAACTTTAAGCAGCTGTTAGCTCATCAGTGACGGATGCAGAAGTCATATCTACAACAGGTAAGACATTGATTGTTTTTGTTTTAACTGTTTCCCACTTTAAAGTTCTGAACTATTTTATTAATGTAGTTTTTGTTTTTCTGCTTTTTGTTATATATTTATATTTTAATTTTAGCAAACGTATAGAACACAGATGGTTCTGGAGTTGGATCACAGATGAGTGTTCTGCATCCAAAGCTATTGACCCGGTAATATTTTCAAAAGAGGAGACATGTTAAACACATGAAGAATATGCTTTTTTTAAACATTTGTTTTCCAAACAATGCAAAAAGACAATAAATAGGTAAAAATCAAAACAAACCTCATGATTATTGGGTCCACAGATCTAACAACTGATGAGTTTCACCATCAAATTCAACCCTGTAAATGTCAACTACCTCCAGGGGTGTTTGTTGATGAGAGGCACGAGTCTGGGAGGACAATAAGGGAGGAGGCCTCGTCATGTCCTCCTCTGAGCTGAAGAACAGGGAAAACGAAAGACCAACAACAACCAGCCTCTCTGCTTCTTCGTACCTTGATCGTTTCCTCCTCGATCTCCACTGCCTTCTCCCTGAAGTCCACGCCGATGGTGGCCTCGGTCTTGTCGGGGAAGCTGCCTCCAGTGAAGCGGAAGGTGAGGCAGGTCTTCCCCACATTGGAGTCCCCGATGACGATGATCTTGAAGATCCGGGTCTGGATGCTCATGTCCAGCGAGGAGGCGCTGAGATCCAGGGAGGAGGTGACACTCCGGACGCCATCGGTCCTGCTGCTGGCCCGGCTGCGACTGGCTCTGAGGGGATCCATGGAGGAGGTCAACATGGTGACATTATCGTCGGCTCGGTTTCTCCGAACCGGTCTTCCTTTTCCTCCTCTGCTCGCAGAGCAGCTCTCCTCCTCTTCCTCCGGGGAATCCTTGGTCATTGTTGCAGGTCGGTACCGGGGTGTGTGTGTGTGTGTGCGCACGCGCGCACACACGTGGAAAGGAGTGGGGGTTGCATGGATGCAGGGATGGTGTGATGGGGGTGGGGCGTTCAGGGACGATGAGACCAAATGGTGCTTTCTCTCAGCAGCTGATGGCAGATTTAAAGTGAGAAGCGCAAAGAATGAAATACAACATGAAGACACGAAACAGCAAAAACTAAACAGAACAACTAGATTAAGTGTCAAATATCAAGACAGGATTAATGGCTTATTCAGAACTTTAGATCATAATGGAAGGCCTTGTTTTTCTTGAATGATTTCATATCGTCCACTGCCAGTGGCATGCAGACATTTTGGGGGGCAGTTGCTAAGGTAAAGAAGGGTGCCTTGTGCTGTGCATGGAACCACTGGCTGCCTTAGTCATGTCTTGGATATTTTTTATCTAGACTGGTCCTACGGTTTTGATCTGCTCAGAGACGGGATTATAATGGAATTCTGACTGGCAGGGCCAGATTAACACTTCGCTGTACCCTGGGCAACAATCTTCAAGGACCCCATCATCACGACCCCAGAATCACCATAATCCGCCCAAATAAATAAATTACCATAATATACAGTAAATATACTTAAAATTCTAACTATCAAGTGTATTTTTATGTAAAAAAACCTGCAAATGCTCAATGACACAAATCATCAAGACTGGAATTAAGTTGAACGCACTTTGAACCCCACATGTGTACTTGTTTAGTAACGTGTTGACCACTGGTGTCAGAAGCATTTATCAATCAACCTTTATTTATACAGGTAAATCCCATTCAGCCTCGAGGACTCATTTACAAGAGAGACCTGATTTCAACAAAGAAAGATGACAACAATGGACAACAGCAACAACAATAAACAGTTATAAAAAAGCATACTACAGTTTTTTTTTTTTTTTTTAACAAATAGGATGGCATTATTTATAATGTGTGTGTGGGGGGGACATACTGATGGGGGATCTGGGGGTACTCCCCCTAGAAAATTTTGAATAAAGTAGATGCCATTTCCTGCATCCTGGTGTATTTTAATGGTTGTGTAACATCTAGTTTTACCTACATAAGTAAACACTTGGAACACCTCGGGATTCACCTGGAGGAGCTGGTCCAAGTGTCTGGGGAGAGGGAAGTCTGGGCCTCCCCACTTAGGCTGATACCCCCGCAGATGGATGGAAGTAAACACTTGATTCAGTATTTTAGAGCTAATGGCACAACAAGAAGTAGCCTGACCAACAGCTGATTCAATTAATTAAAAATATTACATATTCAAAGGTGACGATTTGATGCCCACATTAAAATTAAATCACTGTAACTTAGTTGACTTCAAATGTAATAAGATGATCAATGAATGTTTGAGACAAAGGATTTACTGATTATAACAGAGATTCCTTCAAGAAACATCCCAGTATATAAATCATAAAACCAGAATGATTTCTGCTCATTCTAAATTTGTCAAATGGTCTAAATCTCTTAAAGTGAAGGAGAATCATTTTAAAATAATAATTAAGATATATCCTGTAGCCATGTTTCTGCAAAGAAGATTTAAATTTGATGTTGATTTGTGTGCCCTTTGTAAATCACAAGATGAATCCCAAGAGTATTTTTTTTAATGTCAAGTCAAGTCATATTTATTTATAGAGCACAATTTAAAACAGATAGACTGTTATCAAAGTGCTTGTGTCAATACAAAGTGTTTGGTCAGACATCAGAAACTGGATTAATCTCAAACTTAACATTCTTTTCATGCTGATGACATTTTACTTTATGTGGATAACTTAAGCTCAGCTTTCTCTGATGACATTAATATAGTCGTACTTATAGCAAAGTACAACATTCACTGTAATAAAGAGGAGGGATAATATCATCAACCTTTATTTATAAAGGTTAATCCCATTGGGCCTCGAAGACTCATTTACAAGAGAGACCTGATTTCAACAAAGAATGATGACAACAATGGACAACAGCAACAACAATAAACAGTTATAAAAAGTCATACTGCAGGTTTTTTTTTTTTTTTTAACAAATAGGATGGCTAAAAGGAAAAGGTAAAAAAATAAATAAAAAAAACAGCTAGATTCCAAGACTTCTATTGGAATCTAGCTGTTTCTAATTCAAGACTAATAAGCTCCTTCCTGTTTGATGAACGATTTTAAGTCATACTATTCTTCATTAAGTAGATTAAAAATCTGCAAAACTGCTAAAATCATCTCACAACAGATAAAACTTATTGTTTTAATTAAAACAATGTTTCTCAGGAAAAATACCTGATGAGCTTGTCAGCAGGTAAGGGGCGTTTACCTTCGGGACAAATTGAGGTTGTCGATTGGTCAGTTACTGACACGCCTTCCGAGTTGATTGACAGGTCACACCATGAGGATCCGATTGAAAAAAAAAAATCCGAGAGCTGCAGCAGCTGGGAGGAGGCGGGGCGGCACAAATGCAGCGCAGAGCTCCAAGTAAAGCAGGAGATAACCAGATATTTTGCTTGTACCCCCACTGCCCTGGGCCCCTTAGAGATCCAGGGCCTCTGGGCAGTTGCCCAGTTGCCCATATGGTTAATCCGGCCATGCTGATTGGGTTAAACTGGGCCAGCAGCTCTAAGAGAGTTTCCCTGGGATTTCAATATCAGTCAAGGAATAGAGTTTAATCTGCCTGCCACATCACGTAGAAAGGCTTTTGAAGCACGGTTTCCGGGTCTGGTGGTCGGATGAATTCTTTGCTAAAATATTTTGTCTTCAATCCAAAGAATCTGACTGGCATGATCTGCTATTAATGGTGAACCCACAAGGCAACGGGAAACTCTGAGTGTAAAGGCCATCTAATCAGATTTTACTTTGAAACGGGTCAATTTCATTTACTGATACTTTTATTTCATAATTTCCTGTAGACCCGAAAGTGCTTTATTTTGAAGGACATGCATGTGCGTAATTTTCTTGCTTCATGTTAAACGAGACAATGGCAAAGGGAGCGAACAAATGTGGTGCAAAGCTAAGCATAAACAAAAGTGCAAAAGATTTAGCACCAGTCGAAAAGGAGAAACAAGGTAAATATTTGCATATGGACATAAGTACAACACATGTTGATGAATATTATTTAAGTACTATTGAAAACAAAAAATGACTTTTTTTATGTGTTTGCCAATTTAGCTCTTACGTTGGGTCAGGACTCAGAAAAAAGTGATAAGTGGGTGACTATACTATGTAATAATGCTTGAGCAGAACTATTTCAGTATTGACATTATGTTTCATTTTAAAATGAGCAGTTACATCTTGCCAGTTTGAGTTTATTTGCCACAATTTATTATAAATAGATGAGCAAATATGGAGAATTCTAGTGTATAACTGTGGTAACGTGTATGTAACTAAAAGATAGGCAATTTCTTGTGCTGGTTGGAAGGTTCAAATCACTGTGGTGAGTCTGGTTAGAACTCCAAAGAAAAGGTGAGTCACACTCCAGTGGATGTTACTTCAATTTGCTCTTTAATCTTCATTTAGAAGCGATTGTGTGGTTTTGCATTTCCACACACACAAATCAAACGAGGTGGCAACAAACTTCGAACAGCAAGTAAAACTGCACAAACTTCGAACTGTAGAACTCAAGGGCAGCTTCGTTCTCTTTTCTGGTCTTTCTGTCTGCATGCTGCACGCAGGTGATTTAGGCTTTGCCTCTTAAAGGGCCAGCACAACAGTTTTTTTCTGGCAGCCTTTTCCACAGCCGCCCCCGTATTCACCTGTGAATACGAACAACAAAAAAGGCTGAGTAAAAAAAAGGGGTGATTAATCGTCCTTAGGCAAGGTACGTAGGATGACAAGTCTCGCCACAGGTCGAATGTAGGCTCTTCCCTTTACAGTCACTTCAGCTGATCTGATCCGGGTGTCTGGTCCAGGAAAAACTTGAGAGACTTTACCCACAGGCCATAGGGCCTGAGGAAGCTGGTTGTCCACAATCATGACCTCATCCCCTACTTGTAGATTGGCGGATTCAGTCTGCCACTTCTGGCGGGCTTGGAGTCCTGGCAGGTAATATTTCAGGAAAGTTTTCCAGAAATGGTCAGTTAGAATTTGACAGTGCCTCCATCTTCTTCGCCCAAGAACCTCTGGGCTGTCTTGGCGACTTGTGGCAGCGAAGCATCCTGCTGTCCCATGAGGAGATAGTTGGGGTAACAGGGTCAGGATCTGCTACTTCAGACGAGATGTAGCCCAAGGGTTTTGAATTGAGAATACCTTCATTTTCAATCAGAATAGTGTGTAACACCTCCTCAATGACAGTCTGGGCTCCAATGATGACTTGAAGAGCAGTCTTTAGTGAGCGGATTTCACACTCCCAACAGCCTCCGAAGTGTGGGGATCCAGGAGGGTTGAAGGCAAACTTGATTTGCTGGCAAGCTAGCTGCTCTTTGAGGTTAGGATGAAGTGCTTGAAATGTTTCCTGCAACTCACGTTCTCCTCCTCTGAAGTTTGTCCCCTGGTCACAGAGAATCTCCTTGGGTTTCCCACACCTGGCTATGAATCGTCTCAGAGCCATTAGAAAGGCATCTGTGTCCATACTGGGAATCAAGTCAAGGTGAACTGCTTTTGTAGTTAGACATTTAAACAACATTCCCCATCTCTTCTTGTTATTGCGTCGGATCTTGATGATGTATGGCCCAAAACAATCCACACCTGTGGAATAGAATGCTGGCTTGAACAGATGCAGTCTGGCTGGAGGGAGGCCCGCCATCTTGGGTGGTTTGGGGTGACCTTTCCACCTCTTGCACTCAACACAGGATCTCTGATGGCGGCGTACTGCTTCATGTCCACGTAACACTCAGTATCTCCTTCTGATCTCAGTAAACACCCTTTCTGGCCCGGAATGCTGGAGCTTACCATCATCCATTACCATCTTCTGCTCAGATCCATCATCTAAGACAGCATATGTCTCAAGGGACTTGTCACCATTCCTCAGAAGCACCTTACTGATCTTCAGTAACACCTTGCAGTTGTAGACTGGACGGTCGACGTACATGACTT